AAGTCCTGTGACTTGTCCAGAGAAGAGCAACCAGCCTAAGCTGGCCAGAGTAATAGTAGTGAGAGTGTTCAGCATAACCTTCAGTGAAATATTTATCCATCAAGACATCCTGCGGTTTTATATTCCAGCTGAGAGGAATCTGTGCTATCCCTTTTAGTGGCATAATACAAAACAAAAATACTACATGTTCGTAAATTATGTTGGCATATTTAGTGTTATTTTTAAAATCCATAATTGTAAATATGGTGACGGGAGTGGTTTGAATGTTTAATCAGTAACTGTAAGGAAGGTGATTATAGCCATTAAAGTGTATAAAATCTGTTTTGTTTCTGAAAAGCTTGTGATGCTGAGGTTGTACATTTCTGTTTCCTACTTGTTAGTTCCTGCTTTGCAAAGTGTTTTTATGACCAAAACCCCCAGATTTTTCGTCCTTTCCCTTACTTGTGCAGCTTGAAGTCTGTTGTTGCCTGTAAAATCTAAAGTTATGTTGTTACCTGCAGCTTAATTTTAATACTGCTCTGTTTTCACTCATTGGTATAATAAACATTTGCTTTGCTGAGGAGACTTGCAGATTGCTCCTTGCATGCATTTTTCTTAGTACACTGTAAAATACAGTTAGATAATTTCTTTCTCTTCACAGGGAGGAACTTGGATAAGGAGACCATCAAAGAAGTATTCATAGCCACTGTGAGAGAGAAACAAGGAAACAGTTGACATCAAACTACAAAAAAGATGACATGTCTGTGCTCAATCCTGCAAGCTTTTTATGACAGAAAAGACTGAATGACATGCAGTATAGTAGTTTCTTTTTCCTCTTGCAGTTTACACAACAGCTAAACCCTGAAATCCTCCTAAGAATCCCAGCACCCCTGCAGTTTAAAGATAGCTCTTATGGTCTAATGTCAAACACAAAGAGTTCTATCATTTTAGATTTGGCCTAAATTATGTTAGTAACATTATTTACCTGTGGAGAAATGCAGATAGGCGAAAAAGGCTGTTGTTTA